GTTTTCACAGATGTATTTTATTTGTTGAATTTGTTAGTAACAGATCTGTTTTATCATTTCTAAATATTTCTTCGCCATTTTGGAAGTTTTTTACATTTACAGATTACACACAGATTTGGTCACGGATTTGGTCACTCAAATAATATTTACACAAATCTACCTCCATATAGTGTGTTTGATAATACCCCCTCCTGTTGTTGTATACCTGTTGTTTTGTGTGTTTTTGGTTTGCACCTGTGTATTTGAAGTGTTTTTGATGCAGAAATGTGTTGACATGTTGTTGCTGTCTTCTCTTGTATCTCCTCTGCTGCCTCTGTGCCAGTGCACAATGGGAAGGGTATGAGGTTGACTCCCAATGAGAAAGCGCAGCCCAGCAGGGGTAGGTCTCATTAAATCATCTGCTAGCCCCTTTCTCGCTCCCCAACCGCTCCCTCTTTGTACATGTTGTCACTTTGTGCCTCACTTTCAACCCTAACATAGTCTCTCCACCTGCACCCCTCTTCATACCTACTCTGCATTGTGTATTACACATTTCTGTTCCTTTATTTGGCCAAATATAAGCTAATTTCTTTGTCTGTGCGTTTATCCAGCTCCAGGTGTGGACAAGCCAATCGGTGAGGTGACAGTGCAGACTGAGCTGCACACGAATCCTGGGAACAAGGAGCGGAAAGTTTCCGTCAAAGGTCTGTTTGAGTTTTCATAACGTGGTGCTAAATATGTGGCCATTTTAAACCAAGTGTGATTTTAATGCCATTTTGCGTATTTAGTCATAGGAGCCAACGATATAAAATGGCAGACGTCGGGCATGTTCCGACCCTTCGTGGAGGTCACCATGATCGGGCCTAACCTCAGCGACAAGAAACGCAAATTCCAGACCAAATCCAAGAACAACAGCTGGTCTCCAAAGTTCAACGAGACTTTCCAATTGTAAGTACCCGTTTTCTTAATTCTTCATGAAAATAAAGGAAGAGGGATCACTGAAATCTCCTTTTTATTGATGTTGAACATTGGATTCTTGACATTAGCAATGTTATTGTTTTCCCCTTATCTTGTTTATTTAGAGTATACATGAGATATTTACATTTACAGTGATGTGCGTTATAAAGTATTTCACCTTAGGCAGTGATGTTTATGTTTGCCAAACAGGCTAATCTATGATATTTGCCAGGTTCAGTACTAAAAACTACAGCGGCAATGATTAGTTGAGTAATTGATCAATAGTTTAATTTGTCAATTAGATAGAGAGAAATCTCTATCCAAAAACCAGAATGGAAAAAAAAGACCAAAGACAATAGCACTTCAAGCTTCTCTAGTAGTTGACAGTGGGCTCTGAAAAATTGTGTATTACACTTTTTATACTGTCTATAAACCAAACAATTCTAAATAATCGTTGGTTGCAGCCTTACTTAAACAGGGTGCTCCTCTGTACATTCTTAACCCAAGTTGACCAACCTGCTGCTGTGTTGATAAATGACTGTTTTCTCCCTGCAGTGTTCTGGGTAACCAGGAGGGCTTTGAGTGTTACGAGCTGCAACTCTGCGTCAAAGACTACTGCTTCGGCCGTGCAGACAGAGTAGTCGGCATGGCTGTCATTCAGCTCAAAGACATCACGGGGAAGGGCAGCTGCGTGTGCTGGTGTCATCTGGGCCAACGCATCCAGATGGACGACACGGGCCTCACCGCCATGCGCATCCTCTCCCAGCGCTCCAGCGACGACGTGGCCAAGGAGTTCGTGAAGCTGAAATCAGAAACTCGATCGGCCGAGGAGGGCAGATGAGAGGAGCTGGAGAGACAAAGACGGACTTCGAAGGTCTTCTGATTTCACAAAGGTCTAAAAAAACACGTGGTCATTTATTTTTTTGACAACAACTTTTACTTGACGTGTCTTAGCTGCTGTTGACTGTTTGATGGCGCCTAATCAAAGTCACCAACACACTGTCACGTTCACACTCTGGGTGTTTTGGACTTCTTCAATCACTCCTGTTATTATTTACCGAGCTACTGTACGGCACACAAGTCACTCAACCTTCACACTAACCAGCTGTTTCACTAGGCACTAGACCACTTACTCTGTCATTTAACCTCCTTTAACCTCTCTCCTCATCAGCCGGAGTGTCAAAGTGCGCACGCCACAGCCTCAAGGAAGCATCGGGTGCCAGGCCCGGCTGGAGGGCCAACATGTTCCCACAATTCCCCCAGTGTTGTTGTGCAATAACCCCCCCCCCACCACCACCAACCACCACCTAAACCCCTTCAAACCTAGGCCATGTGTTCGATGCCTTACACTCTGCCAACTGCGAATGTGTGAAGTCAACAAAAAAGTCTCTTTGTGTAGCTCCACTGTGATGGTTTGAGTAAATGTGAATTCAGGCTTCTTTTTTTGGAACAAATTAATGGCTTGTAGCTAGGATACGGTCGTATATGTTAATAGGTCAATTATTGAATATAGCGGAAGTGATGAAATATGTACTGGTTTCATATCTTGGACAGCTAATGTCAAGAGAAGGTACTTAAAAGTGATATTGTATTCCCTGAATTTAAAGGATTTACCAGATAAAAGTGTGCCTTGCTATTTTCAACTCTCATTCCTGTGTCCCCCCAGGAGAAGAATAATGATATAAAACGTATATAATCAACAACAATATGATTTCAATAACTAACAATGCGAAAAAGTGAACCCTGCTATGGCCAGATTTGCTCCTCACAAAAATCTCCATTTACAACTCTAGAGGGTGCAGCCATTTTATTTATTTTTTATACATATTTATTTTTTGTCTGTGCTTTTCCAAAGCCCTAGATTGAAATTGTTGTTTACCGGTTTCTTAATTTTTAATTTGCACAGAGTGGTACGTCTGAACGAGTTGCATAGATCTGCAGCTCAACAAGATGAGTTACACGCCCTCAGAATAAAGTGTTTTATTAATAACGAAATGTTGGGGAATCGCGTCTTTGACTGACAATAGCGATAATGAAGTCTTTTGTTCATTTATAATTGAGGAAAAAAACATGTCAAACTTTCAGGTAAAGTTTTCTTCCACCATATCTGAACATTTGAACACGAGCGTAGATTTATTTGTGGTTTACAACTCTATTCCTGCTCTGTCTGAGTGGCCTTACTTTGGTGAAATGTGTATCTTTTTAACCTTTTTTTTAATCCTTGTATTTCATTTGGCCTCGTCTTTGCCCGTTAGGATGTCTATTACATTTTCCAAGTGATGTACCTTATCTTTTTTTATCTTTGATATTTCTAACTCTATCTCTTAGTTTTATTTTGTGTTAAGTTTCCTTTTTAAAGATCACATTCTGTTTTATGGAGTAATATGAAGTGAGATCCAGTGAATGTGTATAACAGATGAAAGGATATTATAATGTTACTTTTAATGAATATATAATATGAGAACCTCAATGTGTGCATATTTTTAAACCGACTTGTCTTTGTTACAGTACGTTATCCTTTGTGAATACGAAATGGTTCATAGCCTCTTTTAATATACATGTTCCTCGTGCCAAGTTACAAGTGTTCACTTTTGATCTTTCTTTTTTTATTTTAAAAGGTGTTAACCCTTGCACTAAATCACTGCAATAGTTAACAAGTGTATCAGTCACAGTAACTGCCATTTTGTGGTGTTTTCTTTGTATTGTCACCTTGTCAACATTCCGATAATGAATTTTGTATAAAGTATTTGAGACGTATCTATACCTTTGTGAACCTGCTTTTTTTCCCAACTGATATGAACCACAGGTTTTGATTGGATTTGTCATCGTATCAATATTAATTCAATAATTTGTCATACATTTGTCAAAACCAAGACAAATAATAGCAAACATCTCCTTTCATTACTGTAATGTAGCCAAACTGACCCTTTATAATCCAATCAACTGATGATATGAAATGCATGTATGATTTTTCTCCTATTGGGTATTCTTGTTAAAACAGGCAGAGCAATTTCATAACACTAATGAAATGCTAAATGTTCTTCAATTTCAATTTGATGGTGCCTGAAAATTGATACACGTGACATAATTTAGTGTCTTCTGTGGAGTTGAATCATCTTAACAAAAACAAATCACTGCTGCGTTCCAAATATCGTCCTTTTTGCATAATAATAATAATAATGGGTTTCATTTATAAAGCACTTCATATCTGACTTCAAATCCCGAAGTGCTACAAGCAGTGAGCATGGAACAGTATAAAAACAGTACACAACACAGTAGAATGAATAAAAAGCAATAAAAAACAAACGATAAAATAAAAAGGGGGTAATAAATAAAAGGTCTAGCATCTGGTGTCTCATGCATTATGCATCCATTTGTGTCCACATAGTGCCTTGAGCTTTGACCCCAATGCTTAAACAGTATACCCCCTGCAAAGGATTGTGGGTCGGAATAGCCATAAAATAAAAGCACGCTTGCTTGCATACAGTATAATGCAGGTACTTTTGCATATTGAATTGGACTAACAATATATCGGGACTTTTTTTTTGTTGGTAGTATGGGTATTTGTGCATACATGCAGATACTGTAGGCATCTTGTGCACGCACACCCACAACACAATAACTAATTTAGCAAGCATGTTGAAGTCCCCTGGATGACACTGGGTTCCTTTGTGTTTGAGCACACATATTAAATTCCATTTTGGAAGAGCATATCAGTCAGGAAGTCACAATATCTGGAGCTGCCATTTGAAGTAATTTATCAAAAATGTGACAGATGATTGGCATTTCCTGCATGTAAGTATGTAAACTGTTTTTAGGCACTGATATTGTAGAGGTAAGTCCCCAGTGTGAGCATGTGCAGCCTCACAGGGTGTGTTTCATACCTGACCGCCCCTATTACAACCCTAACGTTGGCCCTGATTGGCTGTAGCCGTTCACCTGTACTGTTGTTTTACAGCCCCCGTCCTGCCCCGTTTTACCATCCAGGTCCAAAGATCGCTGCAGTGTTTACTCAAGGCCCTGAGCTGTTGGCCGCGGGGGGATCCCAGCTCTTCCTGCACGAACCTGAAACCTCTGCTGCAGGCACCTCTGTCACCACTCCACCTGTCGTCCATCCTGCGTGTCTTTCATCCTGGCTGGAGGCCCCCGTCTGTCCTCTCTGCTGGAGCCTGGACGTCCAAACAGACCTCTATAAGGCCTGGATTTACTTCCTTTAAAGCGGAGGCAAAGGGAGGATTGAAATTTGTTTTTGTCCTCTATTTTTTTTTTAGGGCCCTGTGTTCCTGAGTCTGTCTGCGGGAAAACTCATTTTTGTTTCAGGTATGTGGCTGTTTTACATTTGGTTGCACACCTTGGGGAATCGGTGGATGTACAGGCGCTTTTGAGGAAATGGGCTCACGTTTTAAACCCTTAGAAAGGTCATGTATTTCAAATGTTTCTCTCATTTAAAAGTCCAAGCCTAGTGACACACTTCCGATTCACAATAACAAAGTGTTGTGAGAACAATAACAGAGTGAGTTTGGAACTGGCTTTAGTTTTGGATCTATATAACAACACAAATCGGGGGTCAAGCTATTAGCAGTAGTGTAGTTGTGAGAAAAGTGTTTTTCTATAAGGTGTAGGATATTTTTGACTTATATCGAAAAGGAATACAGTATAGAATAGTAGCTGGTTACTTTCTTTGCTATATATTCAAGCAAGCACCATCCTTTGGCTTACTTTAATTGTTATGAATTTCACCCTGAACATTTCCGACTCTTCCTTTTCCACTTTTGAAAGGATCTGTTGTTCCAAGATCAAACAAAATCACAACTATGAAGCAAAATCAAGATGTTCTGTTTTGTATTCGAAGTCTTCTTCTGCTCACCTGATTCAGAACAAGTCAGAGGTTCACGGTCATATCGTAATCTTTGCGATCATGGATTATGTGTCAAAGACTTCACTGTGGTACAAAGGGTTGAGAAGGGAGCGGTTAGATGTGTCTTTACAGCCCTGCAGCACAGATAAGGTCTCGAGGATGTTGCCTGATATTGTCTGAATGAAAGAGCTGTGTGTTTTCTCACTTAACGGGTCCTATTATGCTCATTTTCTGGTTTCATATTCGAATTTTGGGCCTCTACCGTGACACGTTTACATGATTTAATGTCCAAAATGCTTCATTTTTCTCATACCGGTTGTGATTGGTCCACTTAGAGATTTCCCGCTCATTAGCCTATCACGAACAATGTGTTAGAGCGAGTGTTACATAGTGAAAAATGTATTGTTTTTTTTACATTTTTTATTTATTTAGTCAGGAATTTAAAGAATTTTCCAATTAGGAGTGAATAAAGTATATTTAATATAATTTAATCAATTGTATGTCTTGTTCCAGGGAGTCCTTGACCATTTTCATGTGTAGTCCTTAGTTCCATGACGAACAGCTACTTTACTAAGATTGCGACTATTTTTTTAAAAGCTTGCAATTAACGTCAAAAGACGGTCTCCAGCCTTGGCTAACTAATTACATTTACTAATAACACCACATGTGTACATTGTGTATAATTGAACACAGCCTTGCTGTTCAAGGCTAAAAAACATGTTTTTTCGTTGTTGTTTTTTTATCCCCCGTTTCTTCCTTACAATTGTTTTTGCTTAATTAAATTAAATCACTTATTTCTTCTGCTAGCACTTGGTCATCGATATATCTTTTCACACTGAACCAAAGCTAAACACAAACATGACCTTCCATAAATAAACTGCTTCCCCCTCACTCATGCCAGTTTCCCTTTTCAGTTGATATGTCTGTATGGTCTAACTCAAACGAAATGTATCTTCACTAAGTTCTATTTATTCTGTGATATGTAAACACAAGCTCTTCCTCCAGGTGTGAGATATGGAGAGCTAAACATGGGATCCGTAACGTCATTCTTTGGCGGGTTGTGCAGGAAAGAGGTGAAGATAGGTGAGTCGGGAAGCTCACACATGTTATTGTGTGTCCGTATATGTCCTAAACTAAAAGTGTGTAACATACAGTACATGGACTCATGGTACTGATGCTTACATAATTCATTATTCTTTTCTAACAGAGGAGGAGAGACTTTTTCGAGCTAACGACAGACCGTCCAACCTCTCCTACCAATATGCTGTAAGTATAGACACAAAGCTCTGTGCTGTCTTTAAAAAAGCAGAAGTAATATGGCATCAAATGAGGCTACACAGTGCTGTAGCTACAGTATCACTTGCTTATGTCCCTTCATGTGTAACTATTCTGTCCTTCAGAACAACGCCATCCGGACCTCCAAATACAATGTTTTCACCTTCCTGCCACTCAACCTCTTCGAGCAGTTCCGGAGGCTCGCCAACGCCTACTTCATGTTCCTCATGGTCCTGCAGGTAGACATGTCTCTTTATTTACCTACTCTAGTGCTGTCATGCATGTCATGCATGTCAACACGGACTGTATTAGGGGTCATTTTACTTTTTTCACGAATGATTACAAAATGTAGCTAGCCGTTTGGTGATGTATATGCTGCAAAAATGGGTACTGATTTGAATGTTTTACATTTTTTATTATTTTACTTTTTAAGTTCATGGATTTTCTGTCCTATGCTAGGTTCTCAATTTCATCTTCTTTTATCAATGTTTTGTGATTTTGAACAGATGCATAATATTAAAGCATTGGTGTGTGTTTGTGTCAACAGCTGATCCCACAAATCTCCTCTCTCTCGTGGTTCACGACTGCCGTCCCTCTGATTTTAGTGCTGTCTATAACAGCAGTCAAAGACGCCAGCGATGACATAGTAAGTTCTAATTATCACAATTGAACAGAACTAAACTGAAACACAATAACTAAAGAGGAACCACACTTAATACTGGGGCAGAATATGACTTACTGAATTCAAAAATATAATTTAATCTAATTTATTTTCATTTTGTTCCATGACACCTGAGTAGAACAGACACACAAGCGACAAGCAGGTGAACAACCGCATGGTAAACGTCCTCATCGATGGAGAGTAAGATATTCAACACTGTATACTTTTAACATTTTACAGAGCAGTGTTAGGCTTTGAAAGCTCATATTCTGTTTGCTGTTCTGTGAATTCATGTCATCTTCTTTTTTATCTTGTCAGACTAAAAAAAGAAAAATGGATGAACGTGCAGGTTGGAGACATCATCAAACTGGAGAATAATCAGTTTGTCACAGTAAGTATGGACATGATTGTTAACTGTGTGTTCATTATGGTGTTTTATAGCGTAAAGCTGATCTATATACGTTGATGCTTTCAGTGAAAACAGCTAGAATAAGTCAAAGTTCCCACAAGTGATTTGTATCTAATCTTCTATCAGTTAACCATGCTGTTTTCATTTCAGGCGGATCTGATGTTGCTGTCCAGCAGCGAGCCTCTCAACCTGGTTTACGTAGAAACAGCTGAGTTAGATGGGTGTGTGTGTGTGTGTGTGTGTGTGTGTGTGTGTGTGTGTGTGTGTGTGTGTGTGTGTGTGTGTGTGTGTGTGTGTGTGTGTGTGTGTGTGTGTGTGTGTGTGTGTGTGTGTGTGTGTGTGTGTGTGTGTGTGTGTGTGTGTGTGTGTGTGTGTGTGTGTGTGTGTGTGTGTGTGTGTGTGTGTGTGTGTGTGTGGTGTGTGTGTGTGTGTGTGACTTACGGCTAACGTCTCACACTGTCTTCCCTCCTTCTCATGTCCTCTTGGTGTCCCCCAGTGAGACCAATCTGAAGGTGAAGCAGGCGCTGACTGTAACCGGGGATTTGGGGGACAGCACTGACCTCCTGGCTCACTTCAATGGTAAGAATCTGAAATAAGAAATGAATCACATACAAGGAATTTGCTTTGACGCATAGTGCATGGGTGAAAAACAATGGAAGGAATTAAGTTGTACAAAAACATGTAAAAGCTATTTTAAAAACTACAAAAAAAAGAAATGTTTACAAGAATAATATACAAAGGAATATGACAATTTATGATATATGAAAATTGAAATTATTATAGGGAAAAAATATTGAGGGGAAAAGGTTTTAAGTGGATTTGCATTCAAATGTAAGTTTGCTGAATGTGATTTGTAATATTTAATTATTAGAACTGAAGGTAAGAATCTATTAATATTTGTTCTTATGTAAACCTCTAAGAATCGAGCCAAATAACATATCTACCTCGTGAATGGCTGTGGCTCCAATATGATATATAATAAACATGTTTTGATAACAGTTTCCTTTTATGTAACACTTAGGGCTGCATGTTTGTATGAGAGGTGCCATATCAATCAATGCCGTTCTTCATATATTTCTATCTATTAACACAGGCGTTTCAGTGTACAACTCCCTGTAGTTCCACACGATACTTTGACAGTTTACTTGGATATGTTGCTGACACTAGCCTCGGTCTCTCTCAGGTGAAGTCCGATGTGAGCCTCCCAACAACCGGCTGGATAAATTCAAAGGAACCCTGTCTCTGGACGGACAGACCTACTCTCTGGACAACGACAAGGTGCTGCTCAGAGGATGCACGCTGAGGAACACCGAGTGGTGCTTCGGTCTGGTCATCTTTGGAGGTAAGTCTGCTAACGCGTAAACGTCTGCTAACGCTTAATGCTAATGTATTCCAAAAAACGCACGAGGACAGGTACATTTCATTTGGGTTGCACCGCTCATATCGGGCCAACAGAGGGCGCTAATGCTACACACAACAGACTACTAGGTCAAGTTGAGCAAATTATGTATTTAAAACACAACGAAATACGGAATAATAACGGTAAATACAGCAGTGAATATGTAATAAATGAAATTTAAAAAGATAAAGCCACGTTAAGGTATGTATAATTATTTAATGACACTGCTTTAGCTTCAAGCTATTAATATATTTGGCAAACATAAGCTAACTGTTACCACTTTACTACATTCAGTTCGCATTTTATAAGCTTGAAAATAGCTTGCATTTGTCATTACAGGCCTACATTCATTTGTAAAGTATACACTTGATGAGAAAACAATGTATGCTTAATTAAAATGAATCCACAATACCATAATTATAAACTTCCTGAAGACTTAAAGGTGGGTAAAGGTAATTTTGGAGGAACCAGCTAGAGTGCGATAGAATTTGAAAATACACAGCCAACACACGCGAACGCGCACATGACCAATGAGGGCACGAGATCTATGCACGAGATACGTTTGTGCACAGATGGAAGGCTGACAGGCAGGTAGGCCATCCAGTTATTTTAGCCGGGCCCGCTAAAATTATTGGTCGTGCTTTTTACAGTATTACGGCTTCCACAGATAACGTTTTTTTATGGATTTTTTGTCAAAGCACTTCAGATATTCATTGCTATCGGGATGTTAAGAGCATTCCATGGAATATAACAAAAAGTTTATCTCGAGCCGGTTTCTCAAACTTACCTACCCCACCTTTAACATTAAATGTGAATGGCTTATTAGGAGTGTCTGAGGTGGATTTTGTACCTTTGCTTACATGATTTTTAATGCATCTAAAAAGAATTTGAATGTTTCCAGGTCCAGACACCAAGCTGATGCAGAACAGTGGAAAGACCACATTCAAACGCACCAGCATCGACCACCTGATGAATGTCCTGGTGTTGTGTGTGAGTGTCTTGTCCATGCTCACTGCCACACAAACAAACGCACACACTCAGCAGAAAAGGTTTTCTTATGTTATCTAAGTGTTCATATTACAGTAAATATGTTATACATTTGCTTTGCTACTTTGTTGTAGCAACAAATGCAATTGGGTATTTCATTTTTATGACTGTAGTTTTCTCATTAAATAAACTATTTAACAATTAAACCAAATTACGATTAATGTGGCTGAAATTTCCCATCGCAATGCTAACGAAATAGGGGGAAAAAGCATAATATAATTTCAGGATTGTGCACTGCTTGATTTTGCAAATAACTAATCGACTCCTTTAACAAACAGTGACAAGAAAGACTTTTAAAAAACACTGGGAAAAACCATGTTTGTGTCTTTCCTCTTCCTGTTTTGTTGTTGTTAATGTACAAGTCAATTGATGTCAATGTGTGCTATTCTGAATCCATCAGATCTTTGGCTTCCTGGCATCCATGTGTGCCATTCTGGCCATCGGCAGTGCAATCTGGGAGGTAAGGGAGGGCTCTGTGTTTACGGTCTTCCTCCCTCGTGATCAGGGGGTCGGTGCTGGCCTCACATCCTTCCTCTCCTTTTGGTCCTACGTCATCATCCTCAACACGGTGGTGCCCATTTCGCTTTATGTCAGGTAGGTACAGAAATCTACAACATTTATCGTGACGCCTTCAGAGTTAGAGTTGTCTTGCGTCTTACACTGATCCCTTTTTGTTTGAACATCAGTGTGGAGATCATCCGCCTGGGGAACAGCTTCTACATAGACTGGGACAGGAAAATGTATTACCCAAAGAATGACACCCCTGCCCATGCGAGGACCACCACCCTGAACGAGGAGCTGGGCCAGATCAAATACATCTTCAGTGACAAGACTGGAACTCTGACGCAGAACATCATGGCTTTCAACAAGTGCTCGATCAACGGGAAAGCCTACGGTGAGCTGCTCTGATAACGATAAACTCCTTAATGTGGGAATAAGTTAGGATGATAAGATGTCTGAAATAAGGTCTCTGTTATTCAGGGGAGCTGTTTGACTTTTCTGGACAAAGAGTGGAAATAACTGAGGTGAGAGGGGAAAACTGATACACAGTTCTTTATATATTTGTGAATCTTGTCTCCAGCTCTTTAGTTTCTCTGTCTGCTTCTTTTCTGTCTGCAGAAGACAGAGAGATTGGACTTCTCCTGGAACCAGCTGGCGGATCCCAAGTTCATCTTTCACGACCACAGTCTGCTGGAGACGGTGAAGGAGGGGAACCCAGAGGCTCAGGACTTCTTCCGCCTGCTGGCTCTGTGCCACACAGTGATGCCCGAGGAGAAGAACGAGGGTGAGCGACCTCTAGTGGCAAGGCTTTGTTGCATAACAGAAGAATCACAGTGCCCATGTTCTGTCTCTGGGGATTATTTGTGTGCAGATAAAAGGCAAAAGTTAACTAAATCTTAGTGAATACAAAAAACATTGTAAAATAAAAAGTAGCAGTACTAAAAAAAAAAAATAATAATAAACTAAAATATAAGTTATTGAAGGAGCCAGGAAAGAATTCAAGACAAATCGTAAAAATAAACTATATTGCACATTAAGACAACATAGTAAATATAAACACATAGAGATACTTCTTAAATATACAGATCGCTTCTCTTTTTTACTCTAATATATTTTCCTTTTTTATATGAACCATTTACCAGGTATCATTTGAGATAGGTATTAAAGCCAACATGCTCTCTAGTGACCCAGTGGAAGAAAGCAATGCCTCCCACAACAGAAATCCTCACATTCTAACTTTTTTGTAATTCTTTCTTTTAGGGGAGCTGTACTACCAGGCTCAGTCTCCTGACGAGGGCGCTCTGGTGACCGCAGCGAGGAACTTCGGCTTTGTGTTCCGCTCACGCACACCGGAGAGCATCACGGCCATGGAGATGGGAAAACAAGTCACATATGAACTCCTGGCGGTTCTTGACTTCAACAACGTGCGAAAGAGGATGTCAGTCATAGGTGAGAGAAATATGTGCTACATTTATTTATTTAGTTTCAGTTTTTGCCAAAACTTGCTGTTTGAAGATAGTAATTAAAAATGTTCTTAAGATATTTAATCAATAACAAAGCAACTTTCACCATGATTTGCAGTGCGTAGCCCCGAAGGCAAGTTGACTCTATACTGCAAAGGAGCAGACACCATCATCTATGAGAGACTACACCCGTCCTGCAACAAGCTGAAGGAGGTCACCACGGGACACCTGAACGTGAGCCATGCAGTTCGCTTGATGTGATATGTTTGGTGATATAACACACTAAACACTCAGCAATCGTCAGGATTTTTTTAATTTGACCTGTTCTGAACTGAAACAGGAGTATGCAGGCGACGGTCTCCGGACTCTGGTCCTGGCCTACAAAGATCTGGATGAGGATTACATGGATAAGTGGAGAAAGCGCCACCATGAGGCCAGCACCGCCATGGACGGCCGAGAGGAGATGCTCGATGAACTTTACGAAGAGATAGAGAAAGACCTGCAGGTGAGTCTGGACTGTGTTGTATAAAGAAAATCACATTATTTTTGACCAAATACCTCAATAAAGATATTGTGATGATATTGTAAGGTTGACCATTGATGCTTGTGTTACACTTGTTGCTTTAAACATACAATATTGGGGGGGAAATTGAAATTATTGTTGCTTTTTACACACAGAATGATACAAAATAATAGTTTTTCCTATCAACACCCCATACTCTGTGGTTTTTAGCTGTTGGGAGCCACAGCTGTGGAGGACAAGCTGCAGGACGGCGTGCCGCAGACCATAGAGCAACTGGCTAAAGCTGACATCAAAATCTGGGTGTTGACTGGGGATAAACAGGGTGGGTGTCACAAATGATATTTACCAATATAGGTAATACAGTATTATAATGTGAAAGAAATATGTTTGTGTTTATATGATCATCCTGTGTCATCGGTTACTGAACGAGTCATGGACTAGACATGTTTAGCAGATTATTTGAATCACAGTCATTTTAAACATGTATGTTTTGAAACAGAGACGGCGGAGAACATCGGGTATTCCTGCAACATGCTGAGAGAGGAGATGAAGGAGATTTTCGTCGTGGCGGCCAATACGCCTGAAGGAGTCAAAGAGGAGCTGGTGTAAGTTACTCACACACAAAGAACTACACACAGGAGGGGTCTGCTCATCAGAGGCTGAGGAAACATCATCTTACTTCAATTAATACATTGAATTGAACACACTGAAGCTTTTAGATGTTTTTGGTATACTCAAATCATTATACTTCTTCATCCCGGAGGTAATGGGGTTTAGTGACAAATGTCCAATAAAAAATACAAATAAAATATAATGAAAATATTTATATACACATAGATGCAATGAAAAAAGATATGTACATTTATACATTTATATTACAAAATATAGAGTGATGTTTTAGTTTTACTGATATGCACTTAGCACTTGTTAGCTCCAAATGACAGTGGTTTAATTAGTATGTGTATATGAGTTAAATTATTGTTTGTATCCCAATTACATTACTGTGGAAAACATAAAAGTTCATAAAAATGTCAAAGGTTTTTTTTTTTTTTTATTCGTCTCCGTTTCCTCCTTTTTTCAGGAATGCAAGAAGGAAAATGTGTCCAGAATCGGCGGACGTGCCGTCTGTGATCTCGTCTCGCGCCGGTCTGTTCTGGCTCCAGAAGATAGAGAGGGTGGAGGATGAGAAGGTGGAGGGAGAATACGGCCTGGTTATCAACGGACACAGTCTGGTAAGAAAGCACATTTCTAAATGTTTCCCTTTTTGCTAAATATATTAGCTATCCAAAGTAAGTCTTTCTAAAAATCATTTTTCTTTTCTTTTTTAACAATTCAATTATACATATTTGTATTATACAGACCTTTACAGATTATTCTAGTACTGTTTGTTTTGTTTGTTCTTCATAAAGACATTTTTCTTTGTATTTTAAATGCTTAATCTTTGTTTGATTTGATCAATATGTGTATTTTAGACACTCTTGCAGAAAGCTAGAATATTGAAAATCAAGTTTATTAAGGAAACATATTAGAAAGTGGAAGTATTCACTTATTCCTGGTAGAATATTATTACATGTTTACATGCTTCTGGAAAATAATTAAATGAAAGATTAAGTATTTATTGACTAGAATGTACTATATTTCTCTACAGTGGGGAGAGGACTTATGTTAGGTGTTTTGAGGGGGTTAGGGTTGTGTTTGAGGGTTAGACCTGACTCGTTACCTAACCAGTTCTTCCCTTTGCTGCTCAGGCCTTTGCTCTGGAGAACGACCTGCACCTGGAGCTGCTGAGGACGGCCTGTATGTGTCAGACGGTGATCTGCTGCAGGGTCACCCCCTTGCAGAAGGCCCAGGTGGTTCAGCTGGTGAAGAAATACAAGCAGGCCATCACTCTGGCCATCGGGGACGGGGCCAACGATGTCAGCATGATCAAGGGTGAGCTCGCTCAACTCAGACACTGTAGAGTGGTGCAGGAATGAGTCCTTAATCCTGGGAATGTGTTAGCATTTTACCACTTCTGGTTCCCTTGTCTCAAAGGTTTTTGGAGCCTACAACCGATTGCTAGCAAGGGACTAAATTAGATTACTAAATGTCATCACGCGAATATCAGCCGCCTTTAGCGTAGCGTTGGTTAGGACAAGTTGTGTGACCATGATGTTGTTAGTTTATAGCAGTGGTTCTCAAACTTTTTCTGTCACTTTTTCTTTGGAGAAAAAAAAAAGTCGGGCCCCCCCAACACAAATAGTCAGGCTCAGTGGCGGCGCCAGAGATTTTTTTTGGGGGTGCTGTGGGGTAGCTTGACGTTTCATAGAGGGTGCTCCAACATTTAGGGTTTCCCATGAATGTACCGGGCGCTACAGTTGAATTTTCTACTGCAACAATGCCCACGCAAATACACAGTGTACCCGCGACTGTTACAATGAAGGCTCGACAATCAGCTCACGGCCGCATATAGTGTAAGCAGGGGTAAAGTGCTATTTTTATAGGTGGTGTGTGGATCTCACATAGGGGGGTCCGGGGGCAAGCTCCCCCGGGAAGAATTTTAAATATTGAAGTTACATTAAAAGCATCAATCTGGTGCACTTCGAGAGCAAAATGAAGAGATCTATGGATACATCTCTCAACACCCATTTGAAACAGAATTGTAAACAGATTTACTATTTCTTTATGGATATTTTACAAATCACTCCCCTTTAATGTCATATAGTATTTCATACCTGTTTTTAATTGATTCTCTTATTTTTCTATAACTATAATGATCATATAAACGTGTGCCTTGGAAATAATTGTTTACATTAATGGTGACCAAAACGTTTGAGACCCACTGAGATAACACTGAGAGAGTCCTTTAGCTCACTGAGTCTCTCAGTCTGACAGGAGAGGACTCTCCTCCACTTTGTTGTTGAAAAAACTCCTTATATCCGTTAGCGTAGCTCGCTAGCACCAGAAGCTAACAACAACAATCTCCGGTGCGCTCTCTCTCTCTCGCTCGCGCACACACACAAAATGGATCGTTCCACACACACACACACACACACACACACACACACACACACACACACACACACACACACACGCAGAGCCGAGCTTTATTGAAACACAGAGACTCAGACGTAATAGTACTGGATCATATTATTCAATCAATAATTTTTCAAAATATGATTTTTTTTTTTTTTAATCTTTTTTTTTTTTTTTTTATAAGCATTTTTCCCCCTGGTCTCTCGCGCCCCCCATGTCATGCCTCTGCGCCCCCCACTTTGAGAACCACTGGTTTATAGCATTACGTTATAATATTTGGTAGTTATCTTGCTGCACTAAACTTGTAAGTATCAAAAACGTGCCAAATATGTAATTTTTTTATGTTCATTTTTCCAAACTCCAATGGAAGAATCCCATTGCGAGGGAGTCCTCGCAATGCTAACTGTCTGGTCCGTCTAGAAAAATACGTCATCACTGCACCACTCTATTGAGCTTTTGTAAAACTAAATAGCCAGAAAATACGTACTGTTTTTTAATTAATAAAATGTTCGTTTCTGTCTTTCCTGTCTGTCCTACAGCCGCTCACATCGGCGTGGGTATCAGCGGTCAGGAGGGCATGCAGGCGGTCCTCTCCAGCGACTACTCCTTCGCTCAGTTCCGTTACCTGCAGCGCCTCCTGCTGGTGCACGGCCGCTGGTCCTACCTGCGCATGTGCAAGTTCTTACAGTACTTCTTTTACAAGAACTTCACCTTCACCTTCGTTCATTTCTGGTACGCCTTCTTCTGCGGCTTCTCTGCACAGGTGAGGGACACAGAATGTTCTTTCATAATTAAAAGGGTTACATGTAGAGAGAAGAAATAAGGGATCACATGAGACACACAAGTAAGAACGACGGGTATATACAGTATGTAAAAAAATAAATAAATCGAACCAATCCACAGATAAATAAATGATTCTAATTTATATTATATCCGTAGTACAGATGTATACATGTATTGCAATTCAGGGGATGTTCAATATTCACATGGATATTATACAATATAACAACAAATACAGACTGAAATGCCATAAGGTTTAAACAAAACCTCATACAGTAGTTCCAACTAAATATGAATATTATTTTCTTTACAAAAGTAAATATGGCTGACTTATTGAAGTGTACTGAAACAATCCCACAGATAGACTCAAGCTAAAATGTAAAGGACACGTGTGGAAATGTTTCTATCCAAAAATGTATTTGGAAAAAACTATTTCCAAATTGTAGTGACATTTTTTGCTCTGGAGGCGTTAACATGAGTACATATAATGTTATTAACACTGTATTTACATGTTTTTGGTGGTCACAGACAGTGTATGACGAGTGGTTCATCACCCTGTATAACATGGTGTACACGGCGCTTCCTGTCCTCGGCATGAGCCTCTTTGACCAGGTATGCACTAAGGGGGGAATTATTAATAAATCAGTTTGGAATAACTCAAATCAAACATTTTCTTTTGTTGAAAATGATATGAGTCATCAGTATTGATCCTCTCTCACTGATGCTGTGTTTGTGCAGGATGTGAACGACCGCTGGAGCTCCCAGTACCCTCAGCTCTACACTCCGGGCCAGCTCAACCTGTACTTCAGTAAGAAGATGTTCGTGCGCTGCATGCTGCACAGCTGCTACAGCTCCCTCATCCTCTTCTTCATCCCGTGGGCCGCCATGTACGACACAGTGCGAGATGATGGCAAAGACGTCGCCGACTATCAGTCCTTCGCTCTGTTGGCGCAGACCTGCCTGCTGATCGTGATGAGCGTGCAGGTGAGGAGAACACTTCCTGTCTCCAGGAGCAACACACCATGTAGCAAGGGTGCAGAGGCTTTGAATATAATAAAGCGCTTTTTTAAGATATTTGAATACATTGCTATGATGGCATATCAGGGCCATTGTAGGTTAAAATAATGAAAAATGTGTTGAATATTTTCATGAAAATATATTTCTCTGATATTATAAAAATATATATTTGCCAGAAAAATCTTTGAAATATTCAAATTAAAGTCGCACATTTTTGAGAAAAATTAACTTAAAAAATATATAATTTTTCTCTGAAATGTAAAACTAATCATGGAAATTCATTTAAAAAAAAAAAAAGGTTTTCACTCCCTCTGTGGGACAATAACATATTTCTGATTCTGAAATTATTGAAATACAATTTTCTCTATAAATCAAATCAAAATGCCATAAATACCAAAAACACAACATTTAAGAGGAAATATACATTTTATTCATAATAAAATATAAATAATGTTTGCTTTTTTCAGCTTTGTCTCGACACATTTTACTGGACGGCAGTGAACCAGTTTTTTGTTTGGGGCAGCCTGGCCTCCTACTTCGCCATCACACTCACCATGTACAGCAACGGCATGTTCCTCATCTTCACCTCCTACTTCCCCTTCATCGGTGAGTTCACTCAGCTCATTCAGAGAGGCAGATTGTTGCATGTTTTTTCAAATATGAGTCTTCTGAATGCAATAATGTATAAGGTAATGTCTTATAAAAGGCCAATCTCGATATACCAATGTCAATTATTTCTCATGTCATCCTCTTTTTTGTGAGTATTTTAATTATGTGCACAATCACTTACGACCAATATACAATATAATTGTTTTGTTGAATAGCAAAGCCTTTTACTCAGTGATTCTGACTGATTTTGATCAACTCCAGGCACGGCGAGAAACTCTCTGACTCAGCCCAACGTGTGGCTCACCATCTTCCTGACGTCCCTCCTCTGTATTCTGCCTGTGGTGGCTTACCGCTTCATCGTCCTTCAGCTCCGGCCCACCATCAACGACAAGGTGAGAACATGTCACAGTAGAGGCACAACATAAACCTGAACATCAGCATCATAGGTCCCCAAAGTTTGGAATTTGTGTTGGTTAAGCCAGGGGTTCCCAAACTTTGCCATGCCAAGGACCCCACACAACGAGACCAGTCAAGTCCATTTGAGATGATGTACTCATCTAAAACTTGGAAAATATCTCTTCATGTGGTCCTACCTTCCAGTGCTTTGTAAAATAGTATTTCCTCAACAAAGTTGTCTTCTGAAATAAATCTAATGCTGTATGCAAGCAATTCTGCGACATTTGCTACATCCGTGCTCTCATCCAGCTGCAGAGCGAAACATTCACTGGCTCTCACTTGCTAAATGTAAACTTTAAAAAAAAAAAAAATCCCTTTTCACTCAAACTTTGCGTGACCCCGCTGGTGCCCCCTGGGGCCCCCACTTTGAAAAACACTGGGTTAAGCAGCAAGTAAAAAGCCTTTGCACATGAATAAAAAAAAACAGTAAATATCTTGACAATAGGAATATACCCAATACACAATATGAAGATATATGGACTGAGTTATAATTCACTATGATAGACTAACCTACTTCTCCTAAAGAAACTATCAACATTGGATAAATACATTACAAAATTAACCCACATCTTCATTTAATTCTCGTCCCTCTCTCCCTGTAGGTGAGACACAAGCTTCGTAAGGAGGCTCTGCCGGCCCCCGCACCCCGCCGCCCCCCCACCAGGCGTATCAGCACCCGTCGCTCCGGCTACGCCTTCTCCCACGCTCAGGGCTACGGAGAGCTGGTGACGTCCCGCCGCTTCCTGCTGAGGCTGCCCCTGAAGAGCCGCCCCGCCCTGTTCTCTCAGACCGACTCTCCTCTGGCTCAGAACCAGCCGCAGCACTACCGCACCATCGCAGAGGGTCAGGAGGATGCTCAGAGCCCGTAGGCTGGAGGTAGAGCGCTTTGATTTTGAAATACAGGGTAAAGCACACCATCTGAATAGTTTCCGCGGAACTTTTACACTTGACTTTGAGTTTTTTTGTGAGGTATGAATGTTGTTATCACTGTGAACCTGTGGCTCAAAAGAAGCGAGAGGACCACAATGCTGCTTCTGCAGGTTTTAGCTAAATAAGTATAACACTGTTAATACAGAAACACTTCAGTCTACATTATTCATGAGCATTTTTCAAAGCATACCACTGTGTTTGACACTTACTTTCTTCCTTACAGATACATTCATTTTATTACAACGACAATCAAGAAAATCCAGACGTTGTATGTTAAAATGCTTTTCAGCAGGGATGTTTTCGGAGAAAAAACTGAACATTCTTCAGATGCTTCAAAGCACATTTTAGTTAAACAAGAGAGAGATTAAATCTGCATTATCTTACATTTCAGGTTTTTACTCTTTTAATACACCGTCAACATGCCTACTCAGGATTCATGAATGTTAAGGAATTTATGGGGGAAAATCTTGTGCTTGATTAAAAAATATTTTGTGCAGCAATTGAAATGTAGGCATACTAGATAGATATTTTTTTAATACCAACGTTAGCAAATGGTCTATGTTCCAGTGTTTGCTTACTGGCCTTCTTAGCACTTTTTTAGCAAATTGGCCTAGAATAAATCCTTGCATTTGATGTACAAGTATAAGGAGGCTTTGGAACAGCTGACTCAAATTTCAGAAGTCAACACAACATTTACCGCAATAACAAGGAGAGTTTTTAATTTAAATTGAACCGTGCCTCCTCACAGCCCAGCTGCCTTAGAAGACTGTTCAATAACTGTATATTTGACAGGAAAAAAAAGTTTGCATTGCCTATCTCAAGCATGATTTCACAAATGATAAGACATACTGTGTATAGCTACTTAATGGGCTACAACTTGCACAATGAGAATGAGATTAACTTTGTGTCCTGATCTGTAGATGTTTTTGTGTAAAGGTTGCCACTACCTGATCTGGTGAAACTGGACTCCCACAGTGCCTGCAACATGAAGATGCCTTTTATAACTTTGTATTTGTTTTCCTTGAAAAGTGAATTGTCATGACTCAGGGTGTCATTCTGAGAAAAGAGTCATTTCTGTTAAGATCTAGGAACCTCTGTTGTTTACATTCTGATTTACATTTTTGTTAAACATTGTTATATTTCCCTGCTCTGTGTTAATAACCTGTCTGCTCATGTAATATGTCTGTCGCCTATGAAGAGATTAGGTACCGCAGTATTCTCAAAGTACAGCCAGGGGTCAGTGTGGACCCTTTATCAGAAAAATGAAGGTACAGTGATGGTTTAAGTGTCAAAAAGGAACAGTGAAAGCACTCGGCACATATTTCCTTATAAAATCTTTTTTTAAGTCCAGCAACATATCCTGTGTTTTCATTTTAACATTTGTATCATTTAAGTCTACTAGTCATATCAAGGAGATTTAAAAATATTTCATTGTCAAATAAGATCAGAAAATTGACAATGTATTGGATGATGTTTTTTATTTAAAGCTCTTAACAGCATTTTTGCCTTCAAACAGGATCATTATGGGATTTGTATAATGCTTCTTTAAATTAAATCTAGGCATGTATATTATAGATTGATTGATAGAAACATGCATACAAGTGCAAGCCTTTACACAGACAGCATCATCTGTATAAAGTTCAACAATGTTTGATTATTGTAAATATTGAATCACCTTCCCACATCTCTCTCTGCCTGTCTGCAGTAATAATAATAATAATAATCCTTATATTTATTATAGCGCTTTATCAATGACTCTCAAAGTGCTTTACAAATACACATTACACATACAGATCATACATGTAATGGTCATCTACTGTGGACAATACCCACAGGAGCAAATTCGGGTGAAGTGTCTTGCCCAAGGACACAACGGCCTGACGCAGTGGGGCGGGAGCGGGTTTCGATCTGGAGTTCCCCAACACCCCCTTGATCTGATGATCAAACGCACAGACCACTGCGCCACCCGTCCCTAGTACATACATCCTTGACTGTAACATCTGCACGCACACACACACACACACACACACACACACACACACACACACACACACACACACACACACACACACACACACACACACACACACACACACACACACACACAGATTACTGCATTCAGCTCACAACTGCAGTTTTCTCTGGGACTGCCAGCAATGTCATCACTGGTGGAGGGCCACAAGGTGTGAATGAATAACAGGTTTAAAAAAAAGTGAACAGTAACTGAAGAGGATAACATTTCTAAAAACATCCTTAGAATTGCAGAAATGTGCTCAAAATCTAAAGGTTAACAAGAAGGTTAAAGAAAAAACATTTTAGAACAAAACTCTTCACATGCATTTTGATAGATTTCCCCGTTAACTTGACATGATGCCCCTGAATGCCACATTTATTCAGCGTAAAGGTTACAAAATTAAACTCAAACAGCCTCCTTCTGCTCCAGTTTAACCCTTGCAACCCCCCCCCTTATGGCGGTGCAGCAGTCAGCAGACTCCAGTGAAGGTCAGTGAAGGTCGCTGCATGATCCCACAGTATGGAACAGGAATGATTTATAAATATCCTGCCAGTGTGACACACCCACACCACAACCACAGACTATTTTTCACTACGTAACAACCTAAGATAGTGTTTCTGATTAACCAGATAAACATTGTTAAACTTGAATCTAACATTTTCTATTCATTACAACTTACCTTCTTGTCCATATCGTTGAAATAAGAAGCGAGCAGAGACCCAAAAATAAGTCAGTTAAATTCTTTAAGCTAAAAATAAGCTCTGACATTTATTGTTACAAAAAGACAGTCAGATTTGATACAGAAATAGATAAATTAAGGGCAGATTTGAAGCAAATGTAAGATGTATAGTTATAGTTAGATGTTGGGGTAAAGACACACTATGGCACTGTGACATTATCGTAAAATTCTCCTGGGTCAAAGGTCAAGTGGAAAGCTCCTGTAAGAGGAGACGGCAGATTCCACTTCAAAAATAATTTCACGCGAGGCTTTCCAACTCCAGCTAGAGGATCATCACTGTGTGTGTCAGTGTACCAGGCAACAAATCGCTGCGCTGTATTTAGAGAACCAGGATGACTTCCTGCCATATTTCCATCTCGATTGGTTGGACATTGATGGTCCCCAGAGGATATCTTCCTTTTTTTATACTTTATCTTTTTTTTAAACATACACGAGACAAATGAAAAAATAAATTAAGAATGCGTGAAAAGTGGCAACATTTTTAATTAAATTAATTAATTGTAAAAAAAAATCTACTTGAAGATTATGTATTTTAAAAAAACTGTATTTCTTAATTTTTTTGGCTGTAGTGTTGCTTATATAAGGGCCCCATGAATCCATCCTGCGACTATTTGCTGTGTGTCATCCCCTCTCTCTCCCCCTTTCAACACTTGTCACTTCCCTCTATAGGCAGAGGTTTGCAGATTAATGTGATAATAAGAAAGGATTGAGGAAGAAATATTGTATGGCTTATCCATCATACTTTTATGTGTAACATTGCAGCCTCTCTGGGACATTCAGGCATCTTGGATGATAAAGCGTTATCTTTTGGATGGACAATGGATGATTAGCTTTCACAGTGAGACACAGTAGGAGCTGAATAGAATAACCATTATAGGGTGATGATTTGAAGGCGTTGTCAACTCAAGGACAACCTTACTCAGTATTTGAAGACAGAGCAATGGCCAGTGTTAAGACTTTAGCCTTAACAGAAATCAAACATTGGTTCAACAGTGGCTTAACTGTTCAGATGTTGGACAAACCCTGTGTGTGTACTTGTCCAAAAGTCTATGTGAGATAGTGGGAGACATACAAAGAGAGAGTTATCTATAAGTAGAGTGTAAGAGTGGTGTCACTTGTAAACCTTGTGTCTAAATTAAGGATTACCTTCAACCTTAGAAAGTGCACACGCTCCCTGCTGCCGCGTTAGCACCAGTGAGGGGGGTGTGTTGCATTTACACGCCACATGACCCAGGAGAATATATTATCACTTCTGCTGGTTCTTTAGAACGGGGTTTTATCACAGATCGTATCCACGTTTTGTCTGGTCAGCTTCACACAAATTGAACATATTGACATCAGAGGCTTTCAGTGTAAACAGAACCTCTAAATAAAATCATGTTTTGTTAAATTTGGATCTATGCAATAGGGCAAACGGGCAAAAGTTCCCTGAACTCCTGTTTTCAAATAGAATTGATCCAAGAAATCACGTGATTTTCACCTGGTTTTCACCTGGTCAGTTGACACTGTTTGAAGTGAGGCAGATGAGTCCAAGAGGCCTTTTTTGGTTCAAAGGTGCAACGTGTTTATTATGCAAAGCTTGAGGGTCAATAGGCTCCCAAAATAATTGTTCTTTTTGGATAGTTAGGCTTTTTCAAATGCTTAACTGCTGCTAAGACATTTCACAGGCTGTTACATATATGTAGAAGACGCACAGTGGCAGGTCTAAATGTTGCTGTTGTCATAATAACCTTCATACAGTACGCACATATTATACAGCAAATGTTAAGTGGGAAAGAGCGTTGTACATTTTCCTCTGAATGAGTTTTATGAATGAAGATAATGGATGTATAATCAGAACATGTAAATGATGATTTGAAAATGGAGGTTCTGTGGTCCAAACCAAGACGGCAAACATTATTACTCCTTTTGAACCGTGACAAAAGCAAAGATACCAAATCCACAGGAAACTCAAAGTCTATATTATAGCTAAGCTGACAGTATTTTACGCTAAACAATGTTGTATCTATGTCTAAAGTGCTTAAAGCCTTCTTGTTCATTGTTGATTTTTGTATCTGTAAATGATTATTCTTTTCATTTCGAAGTCTGCATGGCTTACTCTAAATTCTTCTATTTGCCAGATTGCCAATGAACTCATTCTTCCCATAATGCATCTCCCCTCCCTCTCCCAGCGCTGCTTTCTTTTGGTTCCATCCCCTGAAATAACCTCCCGCTTCCCTGCAGTGCAGATTAATCATTTACGGGACTGGCGAAACATTGCATTTGTTCATGCGTACGTTCGTTCCTTGGCTGGAAGATGACGAGCACCCTCTTTTCAGACGCAGTGAAGTCACCTTCAGCACGGCGCTCAGTAGAGCTGACAAGTTGGCAGGGAAACACGCCTGCTAATGACGCTTTCTCTGCGTGAGCCACCTCTGAGCCAGCTGGACTCAGAACAAGGTCACCAGCTACGCTTTTGGTCTGAATCACAGAAATGTAAGAAGGTATCAGTTAAAATATTGAATCTGTCTCAGGCTGTTTGTTTGTCGCAACAACAGTAAATGATTTACATGGATTGATAGAGCAAAAGCACAGCATTTGTACATGTCGATGCTTGGTTGAGAAATAATTGAGTGGACCTGCTGTAAGCAGTTTAAAAACAATAATTTGGAATGGAGATCTGCAAATCTGTCTTCATAAATGGATCGCAGCATCCCCTTATATATAAATTGTGTAAAGATTCACAGAATATAAAAAAGACACTAAAATAAATACATATAGAATTGATCAACTTCAATGCAGATTTTTTATATTCCTCATGTGCTTAGCTAATAATACATTTCAATAAAATCTGGAAAATCTGGACTCTCAATGAATGAACTGGTCAAATAAACACATAGATTTGACAGACTTGTTTATTTGGTAACAAACTCTACCTTAATGGCATTCAAAAGAAGCATTATCTCCACAGTATTGCATAACAAGATATTTGCATTACACTTACATGATTTTTGATAGAAGTCTACTTCGATTAAAAGCATACACATCACCAAGAAAGTGACTGTATTAAGAAAATAGACAATACACCTTAAGAAATTCACTCAACTTAAAACGAAGAAAATTACCGCTTTAAAAGAAAAACACTGTTTTGATGTATTATAACACATTATTAGAAAAATCATGTTTAAAAGGCACATTGATAGAACAACAATGGGACAGTGGTACATGCACACAGTCCGGCGAGATAAAGGAAGCATCAACTATATCAAAGTTAAGAGGCAAACACAGAATACCTGATATAACACCAGTATACAATATACATGTATTGCTTTCTTTATTGCTGTAGTAAAAGTGAACTATGTGCATTTATTCTCAGACATTGTTGGGGAGTACTAAAGCAGCATAAGGACAGTATAATAAAGTCTCTCCATTCACATTAATCAAACACTTGCATTAAGTAGAGCTTTTTAAAGAGGTGCAATTTGCATAATCACAGATACTGCCACGGAAGAAAGGAAGACGTCTCATGTAATGCTTCTGTATTTTGAAGGCAATCTTCAAAGATCCATTTAATCACTGTCTAGTTTAGAGAAATCCTCTAAGACAAACCCCATTAGAT